TATATATATATATATATATATATGAATATCCAAAGGTTATTATACGAGCCTCCAATCACCCATAATGTGTCTAATAATTCGAGTACCACCTCCAAGGATTCAAACCCCCGACCTTAGGGGTCTTATGCCAACCCATTAGGCCGGGGTACATGACACACACACACACACATATATATAGATAGATATATATAAATATACATATACAAACTACAATGCCAATTGTCAGCTGCTAGATTTTATGAAGTTTTAAGATCTATCATTTTCATGTGTACAATTTTTTGTTGCTTTCAGATTATTTTACTTTTGCAAAAAAATTCTCTCCTTTGTAGATTTTTTTTTAGCATTAAGAATCAAATTGATTCTAAGATATTAATAAAATTTCCTAAACTTAGAGTTCAGTAGTTTCTCCCTTAAATTTATTACATTAAACTGTTACCAAAATGCTTCTGATTGTGAAAGCTTATAAATATGCAAATTGCAGGAGGGATGAACTCGAAAATGCCAAAACAGCTGATGATGTAAGTATTTCTTGACTGGCATTTACCTTTCTGTGGAAAGATTGAAAATGGTTTTTGGTTCTATTGAGTGGTTACAATAAAATATCTGTAATTAAATTATACATTTTCAGCTATGGAATGCTTCACAGTTGGAGATGGTTCATCATGGGAAAATGCATGGGTTTATGAGGTATTAAACACATTTATCCCAGTTTCCTCGTTCTATATCTTTTTGCAGGAGATTTTTTTTTTATGAATGTAACCTTCAAAAGAAAAGGAAGACAAAGAACACTATTTCCTTTATTATCTCTCGTTTAGGTTAAATCTATTTAGTTATAAAAAATCAAGCTTTCATGATGAAATGCGCAGATTAGGTTTTTGTTTTTTTTTTAAATTGCACCATCCTATTTTATATAAGATATTTTGTGCGCAAATGGATGCATTGACACTGTTCTAGAGTTCCTTGAAGGTGTTTAAGGATCGAGTGTTTATTGGAGAAGTGGTAGAATGATTATAATCAAGGTTTTGGGAAAAAAGGGTGTTGAGCACGGAAGAAAGCACAATGGCTATGTTGGCGAGGAGAATCCACCATGTATTCCTAAACAACTTATAGGACACACAACTTGCAAAAGGAAGATAATGGAACACTTCTTAGGGCATAAATTCAATGAATACAATCCCTAAATACACAAAAAAAAAAGCAAAAACGCCCAAACAAGGCACTAACAACGTATAATAGTACCTCCTCAAAATAACTTTAATTCTAATTAAATTAAAATTAAAAAGGAGCTCTTGTCATCCTAAGTTGTATTTGTAAGTCCTAAAATTATAACCATTCTACACCACTTAGTGTAACTCTTAAGTTCATTATCATGTTATCTATGAACATAAAATAAGTTCCTGAACTAATGTGCTTTGTTTAACCACAATTTTACTGGGATCCCGCTGACTATTTTCTCCTGCTCCATTGTACGTATTTTGTAAGACTTTCACATTGATAAATGTGCCTAAAATTGCAATAATGCAACTTTGAACTCAAAAAAACTTACACTTCTAACCTTTTTCTCACAATATAATCTGATCGTTCTAATCATAAGGCACCCTTTTTTTTTTTAACAGGATGTATTGGGCTAAGAAAATACTTGAATGGACGAGAGGACCTGAAGAAGCACTTGCAATAGCAATATATTTGAATGACAAGGTATTGATCTTTTTCTTATGAGTAACTTATTTGATTTCAGCGACGTTATTTTTTAAATTAACTTTACAGACAGTAGTGCATGGCACGGCGACATGAAAATTACAGTTTATAGAATGTAAATGGGAGAAGTATCAAAATAGTTTTCTTACTCTTTGTAGTAGATCATTTTAGTCACAAAATTTGTAAAGGTGTCAATTTAGTTCCTTGACTCTTTTAATATGGGCAAAAATAGTCTCCGCCGAGGACTGTGACAACATTAATTTAAAAGATTGGGGACTAATTTGACATTTAAAGACTCTGGAACTAAAATAGCTCCACAAAAACAATCGGGGGACTATTTTTACATTTTACATGAATGTAAATCTCGCGTGATATAACAACTTCATAAACATGTTTATCATGTATGTCTACGATCAAACAATGACATAGAATTGGGTGCAGAAGTTAGTGGAGCAATAGATTAATTTAGGGGCATTTACATGCATACCACACAATTCTTATATATTTATATATCTAACAAACTAAACTTCCATATTTACATACTTAACACTAAAATCTTTACATCATATCAGAAATAACTATATCACTAACTTTTTAAAACTGGAATACACATTTTCATGCATAGATTTTTGATACTAAGGTTTTATAAATGTAAATATCAAATTTTAGCTGTCCGATATGTAAATGCATACTAATTGTGCTGTATGTATATAAATTTCCTAAATTTTTATTGCAATTTCATTCCTTTATTACGTTCTAATGAGCCTGCATTTCTACATATGCTAGAATAGATCAACATGCTGCATGTTTCTTATTAAAAGTTGTAACAATCTTTTATGCGTTATAGTTGGCTTCATATTCTGACTGAAATTTTTGTCGGCAGTATGAGATTGATGGTCGAGATCCAAATGGCTATGTTGGCTGCATGTGGTCCATATGCGGCGTCCATGACCAGGTTAGTTTGTTCTAATCGTGGATTGCATGCCCGATTCTGATGTTGATGTTTCACAAGGTGAGGATTTGATTATTTTGTAGGAATAAAGAATTTTTAATTTTGTGAAGTTAATTAGCTTTTAGTTGAAGAGCAGTTTGTTTGGTCGGAGATGGAAATCTAAAAATGTGCTTATTAGAAGCACAAAGAGTGAATATTGAGATGAGCATTGTGATTTTTTTTGCTGGAGCTAGAGAAGTTAGCTTAGAATATATATATTTTTAATCATTCATAGTGGCTCTATTTGGTTTGAAGTAATTGAAAGAGAGAGAGAGAGAGAATGGGCATGCAAAGAAATTGAATTGAAATTGATTTTTTTTTTTGGAAGATTTACATGCATTTACATGTTTTTTGGAAGATTTACATGCATACCACTCAATTCCTATGTATTTACTTATCTAACATCTAAACTTCAATTTTTATGTAATCATTTTCTAAAACCTAAATGATCAAATTTTTATGAGATATGAAAAATCTGGTTGTTATAAATGTGAAAAAAAAAAAAGTAAATTTTAGATGTTGGATATGTAAAAGTATAGTAATTGAGCGGTTAGGCGGTATGTTGTTAAATTCCTTTTTTTTTTTTTTTTAATAAAAAGGGGAAGTATTTTTTCTACAATAAACACAAGTCTTCCTAGGTCTACCTTTACCTTTCTTAACATAAGTCGAATCTAAAACATCTACTCTCCTATTCAGACCATTAGCTGGTCAACATTTAATGTGACCAAACCATCTAAGACGACTCTCTCTAATTTTGTCCGTCACTGGAGCTGCACCAACCTTATCACATATATATTCATTTAGCATTTTGTCTCTGAGTGTAAAGCCACTCATCCACCTATTCATTCTCATCTCGGCAACACTTAACTTAGTATTAAATATGACACTAAAGAGGACGCAATGGAGAAAAACGAATCATGTAGCCGACCCCACGTCGTGGGATTAAGGCTTTATTGTATAAAAAGGGGAAGTATGAGTCAAACTAATGACCTAATACATTGTTCTCCCTCCCGTTTTCACTATGACAGGGAATTGCGAATGGTTACATTCATTTGCTCTCTTTTCTCAAGTAAATTAACTGCACTTAAACCAAACACCTCATACTAATTTTTGAAATAAAATAGTTTCTGCATTCGTGCGTCTATTCCTTCAAATAGTCGCTTATGAAAAGCTCAATTAAATTCAGCCTCATTTATGGCAATTGCAGGGCTGGAAAGAACGTGCAGTTTTTGGGAAAATAAGGTACATGAATTATGCCGGGTGCAAAAGAAAATTTGACACAGATGGCTACATTGCTTATGTGAATGGTCTGGTTGTAAATAGCAAGAAGAGAAAGGCGGAAAATGCAAAAGATTTTAGTGGTAAGAAGATCCAGAACTTGAACCTGAAATGATGAGTTTAGTCCCCCTTCCTTCCAAACGCTTGTTTTGTAGGTAGGGAAATAATGGTATTAGGATGTTTTGATAAAAAAATTAAGGGAAATTTACATACATACCACACAATTCTCATACATTTATATATGTAACACCTGAAGTTTGATATTTATATTTATCATATCTTGATATTAAAAACCTATGCATGAAAGGGTATATTTCTCTTTTGATGTGATGTCAATGATTTTAGTGTTATGTACTTAAATGTGCAAGCTTTGGTGTTAGATATGTAATATATAAGAATTTTGTGGTTTGTATGTAAATGCCCCCAAAAATAATTAGGACCATTTCTCGATTTATGCGTGTCATCCTTGCGCAGGGGCCATGCTAATCTTCTCTGTATCGTTCCAATTTTATCGAATGCCTAGCATCTAAAGTTTGATATTTACATTTATAGCATCATAGGGTCATGACTTTATGCATGAAAATATATATTTTATTTTTAAAATGTTATAAAAAATGATATTTTTGGTATAGAATTAAAAATTTGAAATTTATGCATGTAATTATGAACATTTAAATGTTAGGCATGTAGATAGATAAGAATTGGGTGAGACATATGTAAAGGGTCCAATTTTGTAGAGGAAATCTGGCTCAAAATTTTAGTTCTTGCACGGCTTTCCTGCCACCATATTTTCAATAAACTACTTCAAAGTCAATATTATTACTTTAGCCAAAAAGGACAGAACTTTTCTGTACCCTAAAAGTTCAACTAAGTAGAAGTGATCGTGTTGGACAAGAGCCTAATGCCATATTCATGCAGGAAGGTCCCAGCACACAGATGTAATATAACAAGTAGTATAAAGATAGATCAAGATTTTTATGTGGAAAAACACTGAAAAGAGAAAAAAATCTCAGGGCTTAGCCCAGTCAAAGTAACCCACTATGTTAATGTAAATGCATGTTTATTCTTCTCTTGAATTAACGATGGAATTACATTTTGTTAATCACAAATGTACAATATTAGTTTAGTCTAATAGTCGTAATTAGGTTATAACAAATGTAGTTCCTAGACATATTTGCAATAACGGGTTGCAAAGGACATAACTAATTGTTACAAAGGCAGTACTCTGACATAAAAATTGTTGTTAGTGGTTACAATAACGTCGGTTGGTCTTAAAAATCATAGTTGGATGATAAAATAGTAGTTGGTCGCGGTCGCATGTGCTGCTGTAGTTGGTCGCATGTGCTGTAGTTGGTCGCATGTGCTGTAATTGGTATTTATAGTAGTGTAAATTGGTCATAGAGGTCATAATTGGAAGCTGCAGTAACAGTTAATGACAACAACCATAGTTGGTGGTTACAGTAATGTTAGTTGGTCACAATGGTCATAATTAGTAGCTCCAGGAACATTAGTTGGGCACATAAGTTGTAATTGAAAGTTGCAGTAACAGTTAACCACATAGACTGTAGTGATTACATAGGTTGTAGATGGTAGTAGCAATAACATCAGTTGGCCATAAATGCTTTAATTCTAAATTATAGTAGGAGTTAGTCACATAGATCGTAGTTGATAGTTGTAGTTAGTATTAGTTGTCCATAGTGGCCGCAGCTGAAAGCTAAAGTAGCAATTATTCACATAGGTCAAAGTTGGCCTTATATGTTGTAGTTGACAGTTGTAGCAGTATCAAATGCCATAGAGGTTGTAGTTAGCCACATATATCGTAATTGGTAGTTGCAGTAATATTAGTTAGCCTCATATGTTGTAGTTAGAAGCTACAATAAAAATTATCCACATAAGTCGTAGTTGTTCAAATAAGTCATATTTGGTAGTTATTGCAAAATCAATTAGTCATGGAGGGTATGGTTGGAAGCTACACTGGTCGTTAGTTACATAAGTCATAGTTGGTAGATGCAACAATGTAAGTTGGTTATAGAGGTTGTAGTTGAAATCTATAGTAGCAGTTAGCAACATAGGTCTTAGTTAGTCACATAGGTCATAATTGGTAACTGCAGTTGCGTTCATTGGCGACAAAGGCTGTATTGGGAAGCTGCGGAGTAACTGGCCACATAGACGGTAGTTGATAGCTGCGTCGGTTGACCACATAGATTAAATCAGGAAGTTGCAGTAGTAACTGACCGCATATGTCATAATTGCTAGATACAAGAGCGTCAGTAAGCCATAGAGCTCGTAGTGGGAAGTTACAGTAGTAACTGACCATATATGTCATGGTTGGTAGTTGCAAGAGCATAATAAGTCAATTGTAGAGCGCATAATGGGAAATTGTAGTAATAACTGACCACTTATGTTGTAGGCAGGGCTGTCAAAAAAGCTCGTTGTTCGCGAACAGTTCGTGCTCGGTTCGTCAATGAGTCCGTGTTCGATTCGTTCGATAATTAAACGAGACAAACGTGAACAATTTTTTTTCGTTCGGTTAGTTAAACGAATCAAACACGAACAGTGATGCGTTTGTTCGTGTTCGAATCGTTATTGTTCGAAATATAAAATAATTTAAAATAATTATATATAATAAACCACTAAAATTTATAAATTATAATATATAATAAATTAATAATTATAATATATTAATATACTATATTAGTAATGTATTAGTATAGATATTATATATTTATATAATATA